CCACACTGTTTTCCGTAGTGGCTGTACTGGTTTACATTCCCACCAGCAGTGCAGAATTGTTCCCTGATCACTACATCCATGCCAACATCTATTTTTTTTTTTATTTTTTGATTATGGCCATTCTTGCAGGTAGTGTTGCACTGTGGTTTTGATTTGCATTTCCTTAATCATTAGTGATGCTGATCACTTTTTCATATGTTTGCTGGCCATTTGTGTATCTTCTTTTGAGAATTGTCTATTCATGTCCTTAGCCCACTTATTGATGGGATTGTTTGTCTTTTCCTTACTGATTTGAGTTCACTGTAGACTCTGGATATTAGTCCTTTGACAGATGTATAGATTGTGAAGGTTTTCTCCCACCCAGCTTTTCAGTGCATTCAGTGAGTTGGAAAGTTGGAAAGCACTTAGAGGGGGCATAGTATGTGTGCACCATTTCCCAAACTTATTGGATCATGGGCCATTTCTCCCCAGAGGTGCATATTTTGGGGTAAGGGTTTGGCAGATGATACACTGGAAATCCATGCTGCATAGGACACCACAATGGTGAAATCACAGTCTCCTTCCAAAGGAGGCTCATAAAGTAGATGACGAGACAAAGTCTCAAGTAACTACATCAAGAAGAAGAAACTGCAAATATTCTGAGATACAAAGTTCTGAGTTCATCTCCGTGCAACATTTATTTAACAAAAATATAAGATAATTGAGTTGATATTTTTCAAGTTTGGATTATAAATTGCCTTTATTAGTCTCTCATTGAGGCAGGGTACAGTGACTACATCTGTAATCCCAACACTTTGAGAGGCTAAGTTCGGAGGTTCACTTGACCCTAGGAGCTTGAGACCCTCCTGGGCAACTGAGAGACCTTGTCTCTACAAAAAATTTAAAACTTAGCCAGGCATGGTGGCATGCACCTGTGGTCCTAACTACCCCAGAAGTCGAGGCAGGAGAATCACTTGAACCTAGGAGGTCAAGGCTGCAAGAGCCATGTTCTCACCACTGCACTCCAGCCTGGGTGGCAGAGCAAGACCCCGTCTGAATGAATGAATGAATGAATGAATGAATGAATGAATGAACTGCCACTGACTGTCTCTGCTAAGCATTTTACAAATATAATCTCACGAAAGAATCTACAAAGAGGAAACTATTTTCTTTACTTTTCCTGAAACTGATGGTTAGAAAATGATAGTGTCCTAACTAATCTTATCTATCTTGTCCATACAGGACCTAGGATTTGATGCTGTCTGCCTAACTCCGGAGCTAGAGCTCTATCCACTCCCACCTGTAAAATGTTCCTACTTTTCCAATAAATTACACTTGCATAATTGAAGAATTACTGAATTATTTGAAAGTTCAAGAATACCAAGCAATAATGACCAAAAGAAAATTCCTTTGCACTAAAGTTTAATGTTTGACTGTAAAAACAAAACAGGAGAAAACCTTTAAGTTCTATTTTCCAATTAAATATCAATGAAAGGGAAAATGGAAAGCCATATTAATATAGTGATAGTCTGCTAATAGGAGAGAGAGAAGAGTAAAATGCAGATATCATTGAGAGCCTCGTTCTATGTCCAGTCACCTTTCCAAACCTTGATCGATTTCTTTTAGTGTTTTTCACTTCTATGGTCTTTTTGCTCTTTGTGAATACCAAAATCATATCTCAATTTGAAATACCTATTTCTCTTCAGCTTATTCTCAAATAGAATAATTCATGAGATAACCTCACATATAGATTTCAAGTGTGCACTATGCCCATTTGCTTCTGCTAGGTCCGAATTTCAATAACCTTGTTCATCAGGAGATTGGAACTCTAAATGTTAAATGTCTCCAACCACTCAAAGTCTATGCTTTCATTTCTATGCTGCCAGTCCTGCTTCATTTGATTAGGCACAAAGTGGACGAAGGGAGGAAAAATTAAGGAATTGAGCATGGAAAGATTAACGGTATTTCAGTAGTCTTTGCTGAATTAGAATTATAAGTGTTCATTCAAAGCTAGCTTTCTTAATATGTTTATAGCTACCCAGAGGTATTGTTTAAGATCTGCACTGGGAATGTATAAAGACTTCTATCCAAAATAACACGACTACAATAAGACCACAAATTCTAGTTCAATGTTTCACACACACACATACAAAGACACATAATTCTCTTAAACATATGAGATTTAACATTTTTGACCACAGCAAAGAATGTTTTATGGTTTTTCAAGTTGTTTAAATGCAAAACAAAATGAATATTAAAATCTTGTATAAAAACAAAACTTGAAAACCAATCAATCTGCGTCAATACCTTTTCAGTTCAATTCTTTCCTAGAACCAGGGAGGTTGTTGTTGAAAAGAAGGGGAGAAGAAAAGGAATTAATTTAGCTTGAAAATTTGCTAAGTAACGAATTACCATATTCTCCAGAAACTTCACTGACAATTAGCATTCTAGCCTTGATCCAGGGGAGGAAAAATGCACTGCAGCTGTTTTATACACATCTATATCTGTGTTCAGTAAAATATGTTAGGTACTTTAAATCTGCTTATGTAATGTTGGCAAACAGATATTTTCCCCTTATTACAAATGTAAATGCTAATATAAAATTGATGCAAAATTTAGCTGAGGTTCTATGGATCTTTGTGGTCTGCATTGCTGTCTGAATCCCTCTACATTCAGCTCCTCTGGGAGATATTTACAATCCCAGCTTCAACCAATGGGTGGCGTCATGTGGGCTGCAATTGTGCCGAGGACAATCAGCTACAAAAAATGCACTTTTTCTCCTTCTCAGTTAATTAGGAGGATAAACGCCCAAAACATTGCAAAAAGCATGCTCCAAGGCTCACCTTCAACTTCACCTTTTCTGGAAGGCTGCTTCCTTCTTTTCACTTAATCTTAGCCAGAAGGCTGAAAAACAACGCTTCCTTCTTTTCTAAAGCTTTACCATGTTTCTAAAATGCTTAAATCTATTTCCTCCAGACTCATGTATTTCTTATAGTCTACTTTCAAACCATTTCATGGGTATCAGTTGTGCCCTCCCAGCTTCAGTGAACATTCAAAGCCTCTTCACCGTATTCTTAACCAGAGTTCTCCATGCTACCCAGCACGGTCCTGGATGCATACAAGACTCTGACAGCTGCTTTTTGGTTGATTCTCTACCCCAAGTTCCCTATCAGAAAGGCAGTCTCCCTCCACCTGCAATCCCTACACAGACAAACAGGTAATCTAGCCTCCAGAAGAAGGTATTTCCCCATCACTTTTTTAAAATGTAGCACTGAAGTTAGACTTGGGGAGCATTTATGACGTGTCAGTTTTATTCATTGCCTAGGTCACAGCTGAGTTTCACATGCTTATAGTGTGTGCACAGGTGCATACACACACACACATTTCTTTTAGCATTTGTGATGTCTAGAGAGCCTATCCACATTGCCTTTGTAACTAAGCCCTGGTTTTCATCTTAAAGGAAAAGATCGTAGGAAAACACTAAACCAGAATTGTATTTTCCACCTAAAAACCACTTATGGTTTGGAAATCGCCTCTCTCATCTCCCCATTCATGCTTGTGATGCCCACAAGCTGCAAGTGCAGCCACACAGCCCACACTTAGCTCACTGACTCCATTCCAGACACCCGCTGACTCACCATACCCTCTCTGTTTGTAAGTAATTTAAGAGAAATTTATCACACTTGAAATAAACCATAGAGAGGGCCAAAATCATTTCAATGACAGTGTTCTGGTTCTATAGAAATAACAAATCTGACCCAAACAAAGATCAGGAGTTAGGAATCCAGATGCTACATATCATCAGAGCCCTAGACCTCCAATTTGCATTTCCTGTCCTAATTTGCTGACTGATCGAAGGAGAGTCCTCCACCCTGGACAGCCAGGAGGGTTCTTGCTATGCAGCTCAGCATTTCTGGTTCCACAAGTGGGTCAAGAGCCAGGTTCTTTTCTTGGATTCATTCCAGGGATCAAATGTTGGGTCCACCAGTGACTACCCAGCAAAGGGTTAAAAAAAAAAAGAAGACGACAAATCGCAGAGAATCTGAATGAAGCCTGACAAATTGGAACACGTCTCTCCTGCGGCACTCAATACCTTGCTGTAATATTTATACTGAGTTTGCTCTATGCCAGGCACTGCTTCAAGTGCTTCACACACATTAACTCATCTAGACCTCATAACAAGTCTATGAGGAAGGTGACACTACATTTGAAGGAACAGGGATGCATAATATTGAAACCACATGGCAAGGGTCCATGGCAGAGGTAAGATTTGAATCCAGGTCCACTGGCTCCAGAGCCTGGCTCTTAACCGTCACACTTAAGTGGCAAAATAAATCCATGTGGTTTGGAGGAGAGAAGTCCAGTCAAATAGAGATCTGATCTCTATCTGTATCTAACCCTGTTGCAACCACACTATGAATTCAAGTAGCAGATAATAGAATTGCATATTTTTAAGGTCCAAGATAAAGACCCTTACTAGAGTATTCTTGGAAAATAATGAGGCCCTGCTCAGTTGTGGAGCCAGAAGTCCTGGCTTGCATAGCACCGGCATTCCAGGCTGGAAGGCTTTCTTCTGATCAGCCAGCAAACCAAGGCAAGAAATGATTATCAGAAAGCCCAGCCCATCTCACAGACTTCTTGTTCTCCACCCAGGAGCTTGCACAGCCCTAATAGGGATTGGCACCAAGCCAAGCTCAGATTCTCACCTCCTCCTCCCAATTCCATGCATGTGTGCAAATGCTGGTCAGGGCTCCTGGTACAAGTGTTGATAGTGCTGTGCTTTTTCTTTTAACACATGGCATTAAAATCCAGCGAGCAGTCCATGTGAGAAAGTACTCAGGCATCACTGAAACACCTCTTAATTACTCTTTGCCTACAACCAAAATGTTATCAAATGATGTCAATGCAATCCCTAACAATCTTTTCAACTCTTGCCCTTTTTTCACCTCCCAGGCCACTGCTCTGGTGCAGGTTCTCACCAGTTCTCACCCAAATTCCTGTAACAGACTCTTTATACCCACCTTCAAGCATCAGTTCAGCCCTCTAAGCCATTCTCCATACAGTATCAGGTGGTCCTTTTAAAATGTCAATCTCATTATGTAACTCCAAGCAAAAAATTCCTGAAGTGGCTCTCACAGACCTACAGGAAAAAAAATAAAAATAAAAATTCATTAGCATAGCATATCATGCTTTTTTTTTTCTTTTTTGAAACAGAGTTTCGCTCTTGTTACTCAGGCTGGAGTGCAATGGCGTGATCTCGGCTCACCGCAACCTCCGCCTCCTGGGTTCAGGCAATTCTCCTGTCTCAGCCTCCTGAGTAGCTGGGATTACAGGTACGTGCCACCGTGCCCAGCTAATTTTTTGTATTTTTAGTAGAGACGGGGTTTCACCATGCTGACCAGGATGGTCTTGATCTCTTGACCTCATGATCCACCCACCTCGGCCTCCCAAAGTGCTGGGATTACAGGCTTGAGCCCCTGTGCCCGGCCAGCATATCATGCTTTTAAGTTAGTTAACAATATGCTGGCATTTGTAGAGTTTAAAAAACATTTCACATCTGTTTTCTCACTGTATTAGTCCGTTTTCACACTGTTGATAAAGACATACCCAAGAGCAGAAAGAAAAAAAAGGTTTATGTGAACTTACAGTTCCACATGGCTGGGGAGGCCTCAGAATCATGGTGGGAGGTGAAAGGCACTTCTTACATGGTGGTAGCAAGATAAAATGAGGAATAAACAAAAGCAGAAACCCCTGGTAAACCCACCAGATCCTGTGAGACTTATTCACTATCACCTGAATAGCACAGGAAAGACAAGCCTCCATGATTCTGTCACCACCCACTGGATCCCTCTCACAACACATGGGAATTCTGGGAGAGAAAATTCAAGTTGAGACTTGGGTGGAGGCACAGCCAAACCATATCACTCACTTAATCCTCCCAAGAACAAGGCAGCCCCTAGTGTACCCTATGGGCACTCCTCATAGTGTTCTGTGTTTTTCCAGCTACACCAAGCTACTTGCCATTTCACCTGTTGGCCCTGTTCTTTGCATATGCTCTTTTGCATATGCTATCATATTTTTTCATCTAGAATGCTCCTTTTTATATTCTCTATCTTATGAAAAAGTGCAAATCATTTTCCCCATCTGCTGTCTCCCTTTATCCTTTGTTTCTATTAATACCTAGCACCCATTTACTACCTTTAAAGTGCTCTCCCACCCTGTACCCAGGGGCTGGAAAACTATGTGCTGAAGACCAAATCTGACCAACTGCCTGTTTTTTTAAATAAAGTTTTATTGGAGCACAGCTATGCTCCTTCACTTCCTGTTGTCTATGGCTACTTTCACACTACATCCACAGAGTAGAATAGCTGCAACAGATGTGTGGCCCTAAAAGCCTAAACTGTTTAATATCTGGGCCTTTACAGAAAACATTTGACAACCCTTGCTCTGCTTCATGCATGAAATCAACCTAATGCCCTAGGAGTTCTGGGACTCAAGCCAATGGCGTCCTACCGGGACCCTATGATGCAGCTCTGGCTCTAGGAGAGCAGCCTGAGAAGCAGACTGTCCTACTGGAAAGTGGTATATTTTTCCCATGAGATTGGGCTGGCAAAGTGATCCTGATACATTGACTTTAGGTGACTCACACACATCAGACAAAAGATGAGCTTGGGATTCTCACTTACCAGCAACCTCCCCTGTGTCCTGAGCTGCATGTGCAGGTCACATACTACCTACCATGTGGCTGTGTTTATGCTATGGTGCTTCCTATGATCTATAACACCCAAGTGAAGTAGGTATGGTGGTGAGCAACACTTACCCTCCTCCCCAACCACTGCGCTCCCTGAACCTGGTCCCCAAAGAAGCATCCCACTCCCGCCACAGGCTTCACACATGCCAGGCAGTTCTCTGTGAGTGGCTATCCTCATTTTTTCTGAGGGCCTTCCAAACTGTGGCTCTGCCATCTTTTGATCAATGTCCCTTCTTGTCTCTATCCAACGTGGTAACATCATGCCCTCCCTGTTAGTCCTGGTTGGTCTCTCAAGCCAGGAAAGGTAAGAGGCAATAATTCCTGAAAGGAATAGAACCATTGCTTTCTTCTGTGTCCTTTCCACTGGTTGTAGTATGTAGAAGGCAAGGGTATGGTCAATATTGAAAGAGAGCAAATTCTAAGAAGGCAGTGATTAAGACATGGTTGTAAAATGTATCATCCTATATTTGTGCTTTAAAATTCCAATAAGCAAATTTAACATGACAGAAAACAAATTATCATTGACGTTATTTGGCATTATCTGAGTAAGACTTGCATTGGTGATGGTCAACAATGCTCAGTACCAACCTTTGCAAATTACCCTGAGCCAATCTTCAGAAACAGCACAATGGTTGGATGAGGCAGTGTCTGTCATGAGTAATGATGGAACCAAGCCCTACATAGACTGTGGTAAGAAACTGCAGAGATGAAAAGTTCTATACTGTTTCAACGCAAGCAGATTCAGAAGAGTCACAGCATGGTGACTAACAACAGCATTGTTGTCTTTTTCTCAGGGTTGGAAGATAAAAAATTAGCCCAGAATGGCACATGTGACAAAGAACTTGAAGAGCCAGTTCCTGGATACAACAGAAAGAGATGCCGCCTGGAAATGAAGAGGATCTTTACATGCACTGACTGGACAATAAAAACCACATAAGTACCTCTTCTATACTGATAGTTCGAATTTTCGTCAGTAAACCACGGTATCTAGCATGGGACCATGGATTTTTTAATACATTTTTTTAATCAAATTGTTTATATAGACAGAGGCTTCACAAAAAATTATTTGCATGTGCTCACTCTGAGGTGATCCTCTGGCCAGGGAAATGTCATACTCTGGTAGATCAGGGGCAGGACAAATCTCCTAAATCCAGGCCAGGCAAGTGCAGTCGACTGCATCCAAATTACAGGGACTGAGAGTGAGAAAGGAAGAGTTTCTCAAAAGAAAATGAAGCTACTATACTAGGGCTGGGAAAACAGACCCAGCACAACCTAAAATCCATAGATGTTCACGTCACTCCATGCAGGGTGGGTTAGTGTCATTTCTCTCACATGAGAAACCTCAGGAATGGATGGGTTGGGCCATTTGACTAAGGCTCTGCGGCAAGTCAGTCAAGAGACAAGATCTACATTAAATCTAACAAACTAACTCTGCAACCAGCTGAGATCATCTACATTTGGCAATCACTGATCAACTCCAGGGATTTAGATCTGGCGAGGGCTTGGTGTCGGAAGATGTGGAGTGACTCCAGCTCCTTCATTTGCTGGTTGTATATTGAACAAATTAACCTCTCTGAATCTGTCCCTTTAGGTACACAATTTGGACTAATAGTAATGCCCTTGCGGCATGGACATTATTATTAAAAACAATACTCATAAAGAATTAAGCCTAGTATACTATTAATAACTGTGGCAGATATAAAGGATACATGTTATTGTATTTTATTTATTTTAATAGACTCAAAAATAGCATGTCCTATGTGCCAGTTGCTGTTCTAAGTGTATCATGAATAGTAACTCATTTGATGAGAGAGTGCACCCTCATTTTATAAATACGAAAACTAAGGCCCAGAGATGTTTAGTGACTCATCCAAGGTCACAAGCTAATGAATGGGTACCAGGCTTCAAACCCAGGCAGCACTCCACTGTTGCTAAACTCCACTGCCTCCAAGGAAAAGGTAGTTATTACTATCATTCAATAAGTGGTGGCATTTTATTGCCATTATTATTATAGATGAGAAAACTGAAATCTAGAGGCATTAAAATAGAAGTGAAGCTAAAAATAAATCCTGGGTCTAATGCTTCTCAGTCCACTTCCCTTTGAATCTGCTGCACCACTTCCTACTGAGAGGAGAATTACATAAAGGAGAAGTAGTAGGATCATGTATCTTCTGACAAATGAGATCTTTTATGCAATATATCAGGTATATTATCAGGGAGAACAAGATTTTTTTTTCCATAATAGACTCTAATTGTGTGTAAAGCAGAAAGAGAAAGTGAGCAAACCTTTCCTTGTTTTTAGGTAGAAATAAGAAACACTACAGAAGTTCTAAGTTCCCACGGGTTTGAGAGTCACAGTGCCAGTTTATAAAAACAGCAGTATCATGATTCCATTTCAAAAGCACAAAAGTGACTCCAGAGGATTGTTAGTGTCTGCAGAGGATTAAAGAATGTGCTGTGGAGAAGCTGCAGTTTTGGAAGTTAGTGTCGGTCCTCAGATCTCCAGGGAGTTCAGTCCTAGAAGTGCAGCTGCTTCCTTGAGACTGAGATGGGACAGTCACAAACTAGATGCAAAAATCCCCAGAGCCAGCCCCGCTTTTAGTATTTTCCTAGAGTTTCACTTCTCCCTTCTCTGAAGAAACTCCTCCTCCTCTGAGGTTCGTTTAGACCATGGTATAAATCAGGAGTAGGTGAACTTTCTGTAAAGACCCAAATGTAAGTATTCCAGGCTTTGAGAGATCTGCAGTCCTGGTCCCAGCTACTCAACTCTGCCATTGTAGCAACAGCTCCTATGGACAATGCGTGATGCAATCAGAGTGACTGTGTTCCAATAATCCTTATTTAGAAATATAGATAGTGGGCTCCATTTGGCCTGTGGGTTGTCATCCCATGACTCCCGGCATGAATCCTTTTCCCATGTGGATTCTACCCACTAACTCCCAAACCTCCCTCATAGCCACCAGGAGCTTTCTCTCTGGGCTTGCAGTCATTAGTCTGAGCCTCCACTACATTCCAAGCACTGGGCTTCCCTTCTTCCCCAGCAATGGGCATCAACACCGCCCATGTCTTGACCTGCTCAGGTCCAAGAACTTTTATTCATTCCCGATTCACCTTAAACACTCACCCCACAGTACATTCAGTAGCCAGTCATTTGGCCTCTGATTCCTAAACTACCCCAGTCTTTGGTCACAAACCCTGAAGCTTCCTAATTTCCTTACTGTCCACTTCATCTTCCCCATCTCAGCATGCTGTGCTGCTCTGTCCAACACAGTAGCCACTACCACAGGGGACTGTAGAGCATTGAAAATCTCTCTAGTATCAATTGGGATGTGCTGTAAGTATAAAATACGCACCAGATTTTTAAGGCTTAGTATTAAAAAAAGGAAAGATCTGATTAAATTAATTATATGTTTAAACTATATTTTTGATATGTTAGCCAAGTATATTATTAAAATCATCATAAACTCTCTTATAATATGTTGTAGAGAATTTTAAAATAGCCACAGGGTGGGTTGCATTTGTGACTTGCATTAAATTTGTATTGGGCAGCACTGTCTTAGATGTGTCCCTTTTTCCCCAAATCATCAGACCATGCTCATTTGTCCCACTGTTTCCCCATTTAGCCTACACCTCATGACATGTTACTGCAGACCCTTCTGCGCCAGGACCTCAAAGCTCTCACCCCATTGTTCTTCTTTCGTAGTTACTGTACTTACCCCCTGCAAACCAAACAGCCGCCATCTGTGCTCTTGCAATGTGGAGCACTAGAGAATTAAAACTACCCAATTCTGCAGAGAATTGAGCCACCTCAAGTTCACAGCTTTGACGTGTATTGGACTTGTAGTATGGCCATTCTTTTTCTCTTACTCCATGTCAGCATCCAGCCTTTACTTTGGATCGTCCCTAACACCCTTTCAAATCCTATCTCTAGGTGTTTGCTCACAGCAGTTCTCTAGTCTGGGACACACTGACCACCCCTGCTGCCCTCTGCTTCAGTGCACAGCTCCAAATCCTGGATTCTTCCCACAATGCCCAGTTCAAATTTCTCTTAGGCAGTGAAGTCCTCCCTGTTGACTGCAGAACATGAATTGGCCTGTTCTGAACTGCTACGGCACCAACTGTCTGCAAGATGTATTCGGCTCCTCGTGAAGCAAGTTATTCCTTTACACATTTACATGTGTATATCTTTGAGAAAACTCAATTGCTAATCTGAGGGTAAGGGCTTCTGATTTACATATGCATTGGCTGGTCAGATTATAGGGGACAAAGTACAAGTCCAGAAAGATTAGTTTGTCAATACAGTAGGGCTGGATTCAAAATATTTTTCAGAAATGTGGTCGACATAATGTATAAATCAGAAAGCAAGTAGAAAAAAAATACAGAGCTGGGAAGTGTCTGGTTCCATTAAAAATATTGAACGTGGTCCCAGGACTGTTGGGCGTGTGAAATTAAACTTGTCATCCCACTAAAAGCTTGACCTAGAAGACAATGATGGCCTGGAGCCCTGCCACAGGAGCAACTCTTCAAACATCTCAGTCCAAGGAATCTAGTATCTCACTTCCAAAAGCACCATTCCTCTCACCCCTGCTTGCGGGAGAGTAAGTTGTTAATACCTTCCCGGAAAGTAGTGTATCCATAAGGAGCCTTACAAATGTTCAGGAGTTTTACTTCAGAGAGTCTATCTTAAAGAAATAATCAGAGATACAAAGATTTGCGTGCAAAATGTTCATCACAACAGCAGTGAAAACTGAAACAAACTAAAACTTCTATATTAGGGGAAGAGCCCAGCAAACCATAGTATATGCATGTAATGAATACTGAAGACATGCATTAAAGACTCAAATCTAGTTAGTACATACTGAAAGAAACACAGGATGCACACTAAGTTGGTTACCTGGGGAAAAGGTGATGTGAAGAGAGGAGGCAGGAATGGTGGAAACAGAAGGAAAGGAGAGGTGAGCAAAATTAACAGAGAACCCTGCATTCCCAAAAACATATAATGTATAATATATGTATATGTATAATAGCATCCTATTGATATATTTTTGATATGTATAGAAGTGTGTGTGTGTGTGTGTGTGTGTGTGTGTGTGTATAGAGAGAGAGAGACATTTTTAAAATAAAGGGTCACAAAACAAGAGTAAAGAAAATCATACAAAATTAAGTAGAAGTTGCCCTGTATATTGGAATTATTAGTAAATTTTTCATTCACAATTTCTGTATTTTCCAAATTTTTGACCAATGAGCATGTATCATGTTGCTAATAGAGCTAGAAATGAATAAAAGAAAAATAAGTTAAATCAGATATGAACTCAAACCATGCCTATTCTTTCAGTATACAAAGATGCTAAAATCAACCATAATTGGAATTATCTCCAAGAAAGCAAAACTTTTAAACCGTTTATAACTAGTAATCCCTAGAAATAATGTAATCTCCCAGAAGTTCTGGCATTTCATATTACCATACTGAGCAATAGATTTAAGAGAATGTATATTTTAAAATAAACAAAAACCTTTTTCATTTCCAATAAATTACAGGGGAGTCTAAGAATAGAAGAACTCCAACTCTGGGCAGTGGCTCAGCTAGAAACCAATCAGCCCCACCCTCCCCTGACTCTGAAAGTTACCAGTATTCCGTTCTCTTAGCCACAGTCAGACCCAGTGAATGAGCTGGAAATCACAGCCTGAGGTAGTTAAGGCAACTTTCTCCAGCAGATAATGGGACTTGCATACAGCTCTGTCAGAGACTCGCAAAGCCCCAAGGCTCTCAGCTTTCACTAGAGAACCTGAAGTCAGTTCCAGAAAGGGAAGACTGAGACAGCCTAAATTAGGTTCAAGTTGCTCTGATTTCATATCCTTCTTACAACTTTCGAGCCCAAGAGTTCCAAAAGTGTGGTGCCCAGACAAGCAGAATCAGTATTGCCTGTGAACTTGCTAGAAATGCAAGTGCTTGGCCCCATCCCTGACATGCAGAATCAAACACTGTGGGTGGACCTGTCAATCTGTGTTTTAACAAGCTCACCAGGGGATTCTGGTGCTCCATAAAGGCTGAGAACCACTGACCTGGTTCAGTGGCTTTGGACAGTTTCCTAACCCCCCTCTAAACCCCAGTTTTCTTCCCTGGCAAATTGAAGATAATAAAACCTGACCTCAAACTCTTGTAAGGATGATGGATGTAAAGCACACTGCACAAAAGAACACTCAGTAAATTACATCATCATGTTCTCCCTCAGGACTCTTAGGAATTCTACACCCTCTCTGCAAAGTCTTAACTTTTTTCTTTTCAATACTCTTAATTCTTTGCCTGGTGGAAACAAAGAATGGGCATCTCATTGATTGAACAAAATAATATATTGGACACAGGTAAGTAGATAGAACATTGTACTAAGAATATTTCTTTTTGTGAAAAAAAAATGGTATGATAAGGTGGAAAGGAACTTGTTTTCTAGCTCTGTGTGTGTCCCTTTCTGTATGAAGCTATGTGGAATGGCAGAGGAGTCACAAAATTTGGAATTAGGTAACCCAGGGTTCAAATTCTACCTCTGCCGTCATAGTAACGTGGGTGTATGTTTCCAGCACCTCGCATGCCCCTGAACATCACACTGCTGCTCAGAATGCATAGGGTGGCACCTCCTTCCTGCCCTTTTCCTGTTTGTTAATCTTTGTAAAGAGAAAAAAGATAATGGGAGGTATTATGCCTTATACACTCCTCTCTCATCAGGTGGTGCTTTTTATCTTAACTCTTTTCTCTGACATGCCTTCGTGTGATGTCAATTAGCTTTGCAAATGGCAGACTTGCCCAAAGTTCTTCTGCTCCCCAGATTCAAACAACAGGGAATTTCCCTGCCCAAAGGCAGCTGCACCCTATACTCAGATTAACCAGTTAAAATCATGGTCAGAGACCTTCCGTGGCAGTTTTCTGTTCTGCAGATACACTACAACTAGCCCAAATGCTGCATCGTTGAACGTTCATAACTGTGCTTATGACGAGAAATGAGCATGCTCAGTGGGACTCTGCTGTCACCAAGACCATCCCGTCTTCACTGATAGGAACAGTGGTCCTTGGTGCATTCGTTCCCTACAGCTGCTGTAACAAATTACCACATACTTGGTGGTTAAGCACAATGTTCTGGGAATCAAAAGTCTGATCAGTTTCAGGGGCCTGAAATCAAGGCACCTACAGGACCCTGCTCCCTCCAGAGGCTCTAGTGGCAAATCATTTCTGTGCCTTTCCCAGCTTCTAGAGCTGCATTTCCTGCATGACTGGCCTGTGGCTCCTCCCTCCATCTTCTAAGCCAGCAGTGTAGCATCTGACTTCAGTCTTCACATTGCCTTTTACATCTTGTGGTGGTTAATGTTGAGTGTCAACTTGATTGGATTGAAGGATGCAAAGTATTGTTCCTGGGTGTGTCTAGGGGAGTGTTGCCAAAGGAGATTAACATTTGGGTCAGTGGATTGGGAAAGACAGACCCATCCTCAGTCTGCCTGGGCACAATCTAATCAGCTATCAGTGTAGCTAGAATAAAAGCAGGCAGAAGAACATGGAAAGACTGGACTGGCTGAGTCTTCTAGCCTCATCTTTCTCCTGTGCTGGATGCTTTCTACCCTCGAACATCAGACTTCAAGTTCTTCCACTCTTAGACTCTCGGACTTACACCAGTGATTTGCCAGGGGCTCTCGAACCTTCAGCCAAAGACTGAAGGCTGAACTGCCGGTTTCCCTACTTTTGAGGTTTTGGGACTCAGACTGGCTTCCTGGCTCCTCAGCTTGCAGATGGCCTACAAGACTTCATCTTGATCATGTGAATCAGTTCTCCTAATAAACTTCCCTTCATGTATTCCTCTATCCAATTAGGTCTGTCCTTTTAGAGAACCATGACTAATACACATCTGTAATCAAAATTCTCTCTGTCTCCCTTTTATGAGGACAGTGTGGTTATATTTAGGGCCTACCTGGATAATCCAGGATAATCTTCCCATCTCAAGATCCTTGACTCAATCACATCTACAAAGTCTCTTTTGCCAAAAAGGTCACATTCAAAAGTTGCAGGAACTAGGACTTGGATATTGCTGGGGGCCATTAGTCAGCCAACTACATTTGGTAACAAATGTCTGTTCTGTTAAAATGAGAAATCTCCTTTCCATTAAGTGACAAGTAATTGAGAATGTTACTTTTACTTCCACTGAGTCCATAAAGAGGAAACTTTATACTCATGGCTTCACATGGTGAAGAACATTCCTAAACATCTGGGCAGGCTTGAGCAGGAAGGCAGGTGCAGCCTCTTCCCATTTGTGCTCTCATGCCTGGTTTTCTGCCTTGAAAACAGGATTGATGAAGCCTTGTCACAGCAAACAAAATTAGACAATGTGTCAGGAGGACCTATTCCAGGGCGCATAGACAATAAACATTGTCTCTCTCATTTTCCTTCCTGGCCTCTGATTTCTGTCTGTTGAAGAAAGAGGTTGTTCAAGATGACCTCTAGGACCTAGTAAATTCGACACCTTGTCACAATAACCCCTCAGAAGATGGGGATGCTTTTCCCCCTCTGCCCTCATTCTTGACCCATTGCCCATGATTTTTTCCTAGCCTGGCCCCTTCTATAATCCAATTTATCCTGTCATAGGGCCTGAGGCAACATCCTTCTTTCCCATATTGTAGGCTGACTTCTGTGTTAGCCTTCTTCTCTCTTTTCTTTTCCTCTTTCCTCCTCCTGATCTTCTAGTCCCAGAAATATTTGAAAGTGGGAGAGAAGAGATCTCTACATCCATTCTTATGAGGTTTTTAAAAAAATTTAAATGAAAAACCAACCAGCTTGGGTAGGTACATTGGCTGGCTAGAGATGTGTTCCAGTTCTGCTTTGTTGTTTTTATCTGCCTTTCTGCTGATGCAACTCAAGCTATTTATAATTTTGAAACTGACAGGCACATACTTCAGCAGAGAGACTACAGGGAGGAAGAAATCATTTGTATTAAGTTGTATAAACTCTGTACCTTCCAGAACATCATCCTCATCTGTTCTTACAACACTGAAGCTCAACTAACTGCTGAGTGTCTTCCAGGTGCAAGGGATGAAATTAGGGCTTACCATGTATTTCTTAACATATGAAAAAAATAACTGCGCTCTTAGGTTTATTGTAGCCCTATTCACAAAGAGCAAAGATGTAGAATCAACCTAAGTGTCCATCAACAGATGCATGAATAAAGGAAATCTGTATATATACACAATGGAATCCTACCCAGCAATTAAAAAAGAATGAAATCATATTCTTTTGCAGCAACATGGATGGACCTGGAGGCCTTTTTCTTAAGTGAAGCAACTCAGAACCAGAAACCCTCGTAATTGTCAATCCTGCCACCTAAATAACATGATCCTCATTTATAAATGAGAACACAAGACTAAGAGTCATTAAGAGACTTGTTCAGGGCCCTACAGCTTAGTAAATGCAACATATAAACTGCTGTGGGTGCAAAAGAAGAAGATGGAGAGTCACAAGGCCAAGGCTCCACTCAGCTTCCCCACTTAGTCAATGTGTGGCCATAGGAAGACCACTCTCCCTTTGGGACAGAACAGTTTTCTGTTCTGACTTTGATCAAGATGATCTCCAGGTCTCCTTCATAATTAGGACTCACAGTTAGAATTCTATTATGATATCATCCAAACACAGAAAGGGAAAGGAAAAAACCACAGAGCTACCCCAGGAACTCTCAGAAAACTTTTACCATGCATATCCCACCCACCTCCCAGGGGATCTAGGAAAAAAATGATTATCCAGTATCTGCCGCCTAGGCTCAAAGGTACTAGGAGTATATAAGACAATAGGAAAATTAAAAGATGCACATCTAAATTCTCCATGGGGTCAGCTCACTCTCTCCGTGGCTACAGCAGTTGCTAGTCAGACTGTGTCAAGAAAAAACCTTGGCTGTGGCAGAGTCAACCAGCTGTGCAGGCCACAAACACTCGCACCCTCCTCCCTCAGATAAGCAGGGACCTGAGACCTGCCTTCACTGACTATCATGGAGTGGAAAATGGGAGGGGAGCAACCCATCTACCACATTAGGAGTGAGACTAGCCATGTTGACCAGGGTAGGGCTCAGTTCATATTAAAAATACTGTATGAATTTGCTGGGGCTGCCCTAACAGAGTACCACAAACTGAATGACTTAAACAACAGATATTCGATGTCTAACAGTTCTAGAGGCCAGAAGTCCAAATTCAGGCTGTTGGCAGGGCTAGGCTCCCTCTGAAGGGGCTGGAGATGGATCTTCTTCAAGCCTCTTTCCAACTTTTTGGTAGTTCCTTGGCTTGTGGCAGTAGAATTCCAGTCTTCGCATGATGTTCCCTGTGTGCATGTCTTTGAGTCCAACCTTCCCTCTTTAATAAGAACACCAGTCATACTGGATCAGGAGTCCATCTCCTTAACTAATTACACCTGCAGTGAGCCTTGATATGGTTTGGATCTATGTTCCCACACAAATCTCATACTGCATTGTAATCCCCAGGGTTGGAGATAGGGCCTGGTGGAAGGTGATTGGATCATGGGGATGGATTTCTCATGAAATGGTTTAGCACCATCCTCTTGATACTGTTCACAAGAGGGTGAATGAGTTCTCATGAGATCCGGTTGTTTGAATGTGTGGCACCTCCCCCTTCACTCTTTCTCTTGCTTCTGCTTCCACCATGTGAGACATCTGTTCACCCTTTGCTTTCCACCATGACGGGAAGCTTAATGAGGCCTCCTTAGAAGCAGAAGCCACTGTGCTTCCTGTACAGCCTGTGGAACCATGAGCCTATT